GGGCACGTGTGCTCGCCAGACAGAGAGAGACAGAGACAGAAAGCGAGAAATCATCCCCCAGGAGAGATGGCTATGACACAATCCCTTCTCCTCCATTCTTCTCTCAGGATCTTGGGCATGCACACACATGTGCCTGGTGAGAGTTTAAGCCACTGGGCCCACGACTTGAACTGCGGTCAACTACATGGGACGACAGCCATTATGCCAACTGCAGTTCCCCCTAAGGCACAAATCTTAAAAAAAAAAAAAAGTCTAGCATTGCATTCCCAGTTAAAAAATTCTGCAAGTCTGAGTATATTGTTCTTTTTTTTTGGAGAGGTTTTTGCTATAGGGCACGTGTGCTCGCCAGACAGACAGAGACATAGAGACAGAAAGCAAGAAATCACCCCCCAGGGGGGATGGTCACACTGCAATCCCTTCTCCTCCATTCTCCTCTCGGGATCTTGGGCACGCACGCACACGCGCCCGGCGTGAGTTGTAAGCCACAGGGTCCGGGACGTGAACCGCGGTCGACTACGTGGGAGTCCAGCGACACAGCCATTACGCTAACTGCTGGTTCCCAATCTGAATATATTGTAATGGAAACTGTTGGGCTTTGTCTTTGTAAAACCTGCCAAAAGAGTGACAGATTAAAAAAAAAAAAAAAAAAGACAACAGAAATTATTTAAGAGATTTATTAAAGCGTCTTATCACAAAGATGGAAACACACAAATTAAAAACATGCAACCACCAACTTCCACAGACAGGTCAAAAGGCTATGTATTTTTCCTGTTTTCACAGCTGAAAACCTCAGACTTTCTACTCAACTCACTGGCCCTGGATATGTAACTCATTTTTTCTCAAAGAATCCAGGGCAGCAAATAAACAAAATGCAAAACGATTATATAAAGAAAGTGCAAAGTTAAAAAAGAAAATATGTGGAGTATACCCCTCTTCCCTACCCACCCCCCAATAAAAGGCAAACAATGGCACTTCGCTCTTGCTTAACCTAGATTGTCTTCAAAAACTATTAAAATGTAATAGACTAACCAAAAAACAAACGAAAAAAGACACTTAATAGATGTCCAAAAACTTCCTTAGTGTTTGAAAATATATATATATATGATTACACAAGGCAATGTATGTATATCAAACAAGTGTAGGAGCCCTGCATTGCAGCAGTCTGTAAAATAAACAAGGCAAAAAGCTGGTATAGGGTTTATTGACAAAGGCAGAATTTCCTCAGGCAGGTAAGTAAGGAGGTGGCGGTTCTTTTTCAGGCATCTTCACGGCCATTTCGTAGGTTGGCAAGACATACTGAAGAGAGGAAAAAATCTTATCAGACTTAATTCTCCTTCCTTTCTCCCTTCTAAAATAATTCAGCTTTCAGACATTTTGCCCTAAGGAGGGATGTACAAACCCACAGAGAAGAGCTAAAGTGTTAGCTTTTAAACAGTTCCTGAGACTAAACGCTTGAATAACAGGGAACTTAACAGCAGAGTGAGAGGTCACACTGCTAGAGACGGACGGATGGACGGACGGACGGAGGCAGGCAGATAGAATTTTACTTATTTTACTTCTGGGTTGACTCTGAGGCTAAAAGGAGTCCCAGACAGGCACTGTAGGTGCCACTGTTCTCCCCTTGATCCAGTGTGACTGACTTGGCAGCAGTCCCAACTACACCTCAGGGGCCGAGGGGCCCCCGACACATAGGAAACCTCCACTGAGAAGCTGGATCCTGGGTCCTGGGTCCCCACCATCTGTCTGTAGTCAGATCATGAAGTTCTACCAGGTCCTCTAGGGTAACAGGCATACCCTGGTAGGAGTAACCTTCTAACCTAAGGGACCCCCAGGGTGACAGGCTGGCCCAGTGTGGGCCACGTATCGTCTGTGTGTTGAGAACCTTGGAAGGTAACAGCACAGCAGCAGGTTCTGAGAAGCAGGCCTCCCACAAGTCTCATGCAACCCACTGCACTCAGCTCCCCACAAGGGGTCAGCTCCCCCTCTGAAGCCTAAGGAAGTTCTCTGAAAACGACGCACGTTTCATCAATGCTACCCCCACCTTCGAAGCCACAGAGGTAGAGCCAACCGTGGCCGCTTCCTGTTTTACCACCCCACAAAGGTGCACTGGTAGGGGCAGTGACAGATGAATCAGAGGGTCAAGCTGGGTAAGCCAAGCAGGGCAAAGTCTCTCCAGCCCCCTGTCCCCAGAATTCCAACTGGGAAATGTTGAATCCTGTGGGTTCAGCTAGCTGGGGCCCAAACCACACCAACGGCAGAGAAGAGAAAGCCCAGCTCCAGGCTCCTCTCTGGGAACACCTAGTAACAGCCAGCGCTACACTAAGCGGTCGTTCACCTGCGGAGGTGCTTCAAAGGCTGGGTACACAGCGATCTCAGGCACATTTCTGTTGTTGATGTATTTATAACAGTTCCAAACACAGTTGATTAGGTAAGCCTGAAAGAGAAACAACACTGACATGTACGTGAAACGCAACAGACTATCCACCCTAAGAGCAGGTGACTCAACTATGCTTTCCCCACAATCTCCTCTGTGGAGAAGCAACTGACACGTGGCTGGACCCAGCACAGGCCAGACCTTTCTCACTTTGCTCTCAAATCCCAAGATTTACCACCACAATTTCACGGAGAGACAGGAGGTGGGGATTCAATTCAGGTCTCTCAACCACTGGGCTAAAAAAATTCAGAGTTCTGAACTTAGGGATTTTCAATAGATGTAACAAATTGTGACCACTTTCTATACCATAAGGTGCTTCCTAGCCTAGCCTGGTGACCTAGGTGACAGCAAACTGTACTGCAGTGTTGGATGTCTCATGGCCAACTAGGCTCAGATCCCTGGTTGGCTTGAAGAAACGCTGGGCACATGCATGCCTGTGTGTCCAGCACTTGGATGAGTCTGGGAGTCTGGGGAACGGGGGACAATGGTGTGATGGGACCCTGTCAAGAATGCTTCTCTCTCTTAGATACTCTTGCACACACACACACACACACACACACACACATATACATGCTCTTCATCATATATTATAAAAAAGAAGGAAGATGTTCCTTATACTCAAGAATGAACCCAGATACTTTTGACACTCCCTGGAAGACAGAGGACATTCCCAGCAGCTATTTCCACCACTAAGCCAGAGAAACCGCCATCACTATCACCATAAATCCTCAATGTTTTATGACCCACGAGGAGTCAGGCAGTGAAAAAGGTGAAGATGATGTAAGGCTGAGATGCCTCCCCCAAAGATCCAGTGGGCAACTGACCTTAAAAACGATGAAAATGACAAAGAACACGAGGACGATGAACAAGAGGCAGCTGGAGTCCAAGGCCAGGAGGTCATCTTTGGAGGGAAAATCGGGCTGTTAAAAATAAAAACAAAACACATCTATACATTTATGGTTCAGCCAGGCAAGGCCTTTGCCCTTTTGTGGTAACAGAACATTTCTAAAAGTTATTCATTTATTTATAATTTGACCAGAGAGAGTGAGACAGAGGGAAAGTGGGCAGCCATGTAGGAGTCCAGGCCCTTAACCACCACACCACTGCCAGCCCTGCTAACAGAATGTTTTAAGAATACATACAAAAGGCACCAGACCTAGTAGTGATACTCTTTTTTAAAAAAGAATTATTCTACCTGTTGACCCCCCCTAGCAGTAATCATTCTAATGGCTGTAAATGTCTTTTCCCATTTATCTAAGTGTGGACTGCTCAGGAAACTTGACTCTCCATTAAAAGTATTTTGAATTAATTGAGCCAGCTTTTACAACGATGCCACATTTAAAATAGGGGAACCATTCCTCTATTGTGGTTTTGCCCCTTTATAAATCAGACATGAAGAACAAAGACACAAACTTTGCATCTTAGTACAAATTAGCCAATTTATTCAAATTTGATTTTTCTTTACAAAACCCAAACTCATTCATTAGAGACATGTTTATCTGCTTACCAGTTTAGGGAACAACTTGGCAATTCTGTGGTTTGAGATTATTGTTCTCTTAAAGTGCCAGTGTTTTAAAATAGCCTTCTTGGAATTTTACATGCTTTTGTGATGGAATGCTGTTTTGTTATATAATTTTGACTTGGATTCTTTCCATTTGCATCAGTTTATGTAATTTCAGGAGGAATACTGAATATCTGAGTCCTGGATAATACTAATAAACTAATAATTGCAGAGGTTTTTTTTTTTTTTTTTTTTTTTTAAATTTATAGGGACCAGTAGTTAGTGTAATGGCCATGTCACTGGACTCCCATGTAGTCGACTGCAGTTCGAGTCCCGGACCCAGTGGCTTAAAACTCACACCGGGCGTGTGTGTGTACGTGCCCAAGATCCCGAGAGGAGAATGGAGAAGGGACTGCAGCATGGCCATCCCCCTGGGGGGTGATTTCTCACTTTTCCGGCTGGCGGTGCGCCGGGCCCTATTGCAAAAACCTCTCACAAAAAAAAAAAAAAAAATTATGAACAGAATTCAAAGTGCTTTCAAGCCTCATCACCATTAATGCAGGCTATATCACTTAAACTACACTTAGAACACACAACGCTCCACAGCTTGTGGTTAAGGAAACCAGATCCCACATGACCAACCAGTTCACTCTCGGCCCCCACAGCTAGAAAAACACACGTGCCCCAAATCCTGAAGAGATACAGACATAGGAAAGGGACCGCAGTGTGACCACATTCCTGGAAGTGCTTTCTCTTCCCCCACTAAGCACATGTGGCCTCTTAACAATTAAAAAAAAAAAAAGACAATACCCCTAAGGGTCCAAACTGAGCTCATTTTTTCTTCCCTTTCCACTATTTCTCATCTTTCTGGCTTTCAGAAAAATAGTAGCTCCTGTGCAGGACCCCAGATGTGTCCCTGGGCCACACAGTAAGTCAGAGGTACTAGGATCTGTCTAGGTCCCACGCGTCATTCAGTCCTAACGAGGAAAATCATTTTTCTAAATGCCACTTGTTGTAAAGCTGGGCAAGACGGGAGGGTTCCTGCAGCCATACTGCATGTGCTGGGACAGGTCAGCTATATTCGTCTAGACACTCAGCACGGACATCTACACAGCTAAGTTCGGGCAGAAATGACAGAAGAAGAAACCAGACTATACAGGCCAGCCAGTGGAGGGG